TATATATAAAGTAATTTTCCCACGGCACACCTTACACTATGTCACGGCACACTAGTGTGCCGCGGCACAGTGGTTGAAAAACACTGCTCTATGTGCTAGGAAAAACCTCTGAACAATATTACCAAGAAAACTGCATGGAATTGTTCCTGGGGTTACCAGGAGTCAAGCCTGACTCAAAAGATAAGAACATATCACACAAAGTATTCAATAACTTCCTATTGTTTCCTGGAAGACATATAATTCAAAGGATTTCAGAGGGAACATGGGTGGGGAGGTATCTCTAGGAAATTCCATACTGGAAAAAATAAGAAATTGATGGGATATTCAAAAATTAATCTAAGACTTTTTTACTTTTTATTTGTAGAGATTATTACAGATAAAAGTTGTATACATCTTCCATAACTACTTTTTAAAAAGTAGTTAAAAATTAATAAAATATTTAAAATCCATAAGCAACTAACAGTGAGAAATGTTTCACAATGAAACAATAGTTCTAATTAATCATATATGCAAACACAATATAACTTGATTAGGATTTTTTCTTCATAAACTTTTATTTATGAATGTAATACAAAACCATTGTTTCAAATTGTGAAATCTCGGGTCTTTTTATTGCCTCTGGCCAAATTCTGCCTATTTGTAGCCCTTGGCATTCCTCTAACCATGGCTGCTGAAAGCTAACAGTATTATTTTTTAACAATATTATTTTTCAATCTCAGACTAGAAATACATGAAAGCTGGAATATAAACTATAAACTAGGTACATTGTGGTTTTAAAAGAAAAAAAGAAAATATGGAAATATTTATATTTCCAGTCTTAATAACATGTTTAATATATCTCCACTCATTATTATTCTGCAAAAGGTTAAGAATAGTCTTAGACACAAACCAGTTGCTTGTCCTTATTTTACATTAAAGTAGGAAACAAAATGTGTTTCTTTGTTTCCAGTACAGATTATAATTTAAATATTTTTGGACTTAAATATTGTAGTGTTATACAAGAAAACACTACTTACAACTTTTATAATTTTCAAATAGTAATGAATAAAGAGTGTAACTCAACAGTATCTCAAAAGTGATTATATTTTTTTTCTATAAATTATAATAGCATGCCAATTTCATATTTTGGTTTACAAAGAAAGTGCATTTTGATTGTGTCATTTTTCTACAGACAATTTCATCCCATTCTTATTTTTTAAATCAGTTTGAAAATGTTTTATAAAAACTCTTTATAATTTGTAGACATCAGAAGCATCACAATGAAAGGGGCAAGAAACAAATTTAATAAACAAATAAAATATTTATCTTGGTATACTTTTGACCTATTGATTTAGCCACATACTCACTGATCTATTTATTTTCCCCTAATATGTACAGTTTTGAACATCTCCGTTTAAAACAAAAATTAGACCATGCATGGTAAAACTGAGGAAAGGGTGAATATACAAATGTGTGGATTATATTATGCACAAATGAATGACTTAAGTACCAGGCCTTCTAGCTGTCCATCTTAAATTCTATAGAGAAAAGCCTGTAGAATATTATGAGGATTCAATATAAATCTCTGTCTAACCTTGACTATAGAAATGAAATAACTGTAGTATGCTTGACGGACTTTGGAATGTAATCTGTTCTATTCTTCAGATATTGACGACTGTTTCAAGTGCCCAGAAGATCAGTACCCTAACAGAGCTCAAGATAAATGCCTGACAAAACGTTTAAACTTTTTGACTTATGATGAAGCTTTGGGTATCAGTTTGGCCCTTTCAGCTTGTTCTTTTGCTCTGCTCTCAACTGCAGTGCTTGGAATCTTTATTAAGCACAGGAATACTCCCATTGTCAAAGCCAACAATCGGGATCTCTCTTATCTTCTCCTAATTTCCCTTCTGCTTTGCTTCCTCTCTTCATTGCTGTTTATCGGCCGTCCTGGGGAAGTGATCTGCCCTTTACAACAAACAGCTTTTGCTATCATTTTCTCAATAGCTATCTCTTGTGTATTGGCAAAAACCATCACTGTAGTTCTGGCTTTTATGGCCACTAAGCCAGGATCAGCTATGAAGAAATGGGTAGGGAAAAAAATGTCAAATTACATTGTCCTTTTCAGCTCCCTAATTCAGATAGGAATTTGTATTTCCTGGCTTTGTATAGCTTGCCCTTACCCAGATATGGACATGATCTTCTTAACTGAAGAAATTATACTTGAGTGTAACAAAGGTTCAGTTGTTATGTTTTATTGTATTCTGAGCTATCTAGGATCTCTGGCTATTGTCAGCTTTATTATGGCTTTCCTGGCCAGGAAGTTGCCCAATAGTTTCAATGAAGCCAAATTCATCACTTTCAGCATGTTACTATTTTGCAGTGTTTGGATATGTTTTGTTCCAACATATATAAGTTCAAAGGGAAAATATATGGTCGCTGTGGAAATCTTCACTTTACTGAGTTCCAGTGCTGGGCTGCTTGGTTGTATTTTCCTCCCCAAGTGTTACATAATTGTCCTGAGACCTGATCTGAATAAGAAGGACCATCTAACAAGGAAAAATACGGGCTATGGAAATTGATTATAAGAAACTTAATTTAAAAATGGAAGGTTCAATATTTCTAATCTATCTTGACCTTTGTCTGCTTGTTGGGTCAGATTATTTTGCCAAATGAAAAAACTGTGATGCATTCAAAAGTGAAAGACAACAAAATAAAATGTCTCTGAGTTAAATTCAGTATTTTATGAAGACATTGTTTTCTGGTTTGTACAATAAAGTTTACTTGGCTAAAGTGGCTGACTTCTAACAAGTTCCTGAAGCTTCCTCAGGTGTAAGATAATAGATATGGTGGTCCATTAAATATGAAAAGATGTACAATGTATCTGTATAATATTATTTTATGGTTTGTTTTGAGATTGTTTATTTTATGTGATTTCAATGCAGTGCAAAAGTTTATTTACTATAGCAGCTCTCCTCAGGCAACACTAACTATGGAGAGGAAACAAGGATTAGATCTCCAACAAAGTGATCTCCCAATCTTTCCACGTTGAAATAGAGTACCTGAAAGGAAATTGTATTAATGCATATATTAACTATGTTCATCCAAAAGTACTATTAACCTGAAAAGGGTCCACAAGGAAAATATATTAAAATTTCTCAATTTTCTCTTAATTGACTCATGTCATTTTGTCACAAGAATTACAATTCATGTTAAGTAAGCAAAGGAAAGAAATAAAGCAATTTCATTGTGGTAATTATTCTTTCTATGATTCAGGGGGAAAAAACGTTTCTAAACAACAAGGAAGGCATAAAACTGCTTAAAAAGGGAGCGGAGGAGGAATCTTTCAACAGAAAGGGAGATACCACTTGTCTCTTATCTCCTATCTCCAATGCAGTCCTTTCATCAGTTCCAAGATTCCACCCCATTTGCACTCTGATGCAGGTGACCCTGAGGGATAAACAGATAAACCTTCCAAGTGGCCTCAACATCTCTCAGGAAGAGTGCTAAGACCAGATGACTGCAAAGAAACATGATCTTTCCATCCCTCCTTCCCCCATCCCCATGCTCCCCTGCAAGAACGAATGAAGCTTCTAGGATGAGAAGTCATCTTCTTTCTCAAGGAAAAAACCAGACCAGTTGCCTTTTGAAAAGTATCTTCAATGGGGGTTTCTTTGGAGGGGGTCAGGGATTCTTCAGCAGTATTGACAACTTTAAAAGGTGTGGATTTCAATGTGCCTGGTGGCAGCTACTCAAAAGCCAATGCTGATGATGGCCCCTCCTGTTCCAGACAAGTCTTCTCAGAAAGAGCATGCAAGCATTCTGAGCAATCTCCCAGCTTCTCCAGTTCAGTACCTTTCCCTCTGGCATAGTTTCTTCCCAACCACCTAATTGTCCAAATCTGCCACCAGCCGTGCTGGCAGTTGGTGGGCCACAACAGTGGGTTAAATAATTTTACTTTCCTTTTCTTTGCAGTATTACTAGATTTATGTATTTAGGGAGATATAGCACTTTTATTCTGCTTTGGGAATCATTATTAATGAAAGATCATTTATAAACCATACACCCACAAATATACAAATGCAGAAAATAAAGAGGGATTTGTTTGAACTCATATTTCACACAGATATTCCTCAATTTATAACTGTAAGTTGTGCCAGTTGTTAAGTGGGTATGTGGCTGACCCAATTTTATAACATTTTTTGCAGTGGTTGTTAAACAAATCACCATGGTGTTAAGCAAATTAATCTCATTAAGTGAACTTGTTGTCCACAAGTTCACTTAATTGAGATTGGGCATCCTGGAAACCAGAAGTCTATTTTATCCAAAATCCATGTTCTGGCCCATCTTACAAAATAATCAAGGCTGTCTCATTTTCCAGACTTTCCCTTTAGCTAAGTGACCACACATAAATAATTATGATTCTTATTGGAATTAAAGAAGATAGTCTGAACGGAAGGAGGTTTGCAAAGTGACTTTCAGCAGTTTGTTTCTGGGTTAGCTGAACAACAAACTAGACAAAAGGAACGATTCTTATAGGATTCTGTTTTTGAAGTTTTGGAATTTGTGCAATATGGGCTTTGTGTTTGGGTGGTGTTAGATACTAGCAACTGTCATAATGGTTTCCACCAAGGTCCTCTGTTCCGGTGGGAACAAAGGTTCAATCTCATTGGTCGAAGGGTCTGATAGCTCCTTATAAAAGGGCTACTGTCAGACTGAACTTTCGCTGGATTGTACATAGTTGTTCTGTTACAATAAAGAGCTGTTTATTACATTCCTTAGGCCCCGGCAAAGTATTCTTTAAATTAGACATGGCGCAGGCATACCAACAATTGTCTGTATATGGTGCTATGGCGTAGGCCCAATCCATTGTGACGCACAGGGGTGCATTCAAATGTAACCGCCTGCAATGTGGAGTTAGTATCGCCCCTGGATTGTTCCAAAGCATCATGGAATGGCTTTTGCAGGGGATTCCCTCTTGGTATCATCTGCAAATGAGGAGCAATTTTTCAAACGTTTAAGAACTGTTTTTATCAGAATTAGAGACAAAGGCCTCCATCTCAAAAAAAGAAAAATGCCAAATTAAGGTGCCAAGGATTGAATTCCTAGGGTACCTCATCAACGGCTCTGGGATTCACCTGACCTTTAAAAAAATTAAAGCAATCCAGGACGCCCCTACACCTTGCAATCAGACCGAGCTTCAGGCGATCCTTTCTTAAACAGAAAGCCACCATTTCTGAGCCCTTACATTGTCTCCTGGCAAAGAACATGAAGTGGTCCTGGGGCAGAGCCCAAGCAGCCGCATTTGCTGCAGTAAAGAGACTACTGTCAGTAGATACATTCCTGGTTCAGTACAGCCAGACCCTGCCACTTGTGTTAACTTGCGGTGCTTTCTCGTTTGGCATCGAAGCCATCCTCAGGGGGCTTCGGGTCATTGTTCCACCCAAACTGTGCATTGCAGTATTAGAGGCTTTACACGTGGGGCATCCTGGAATTGTCAGGATGAAGAGAACCATATAAGCCAGCTTCAATTTATTTTTAAAAACTGGGATAAAGAAATATATTTAAAATGAAGAATCTCCTTTTCACTTTTCAATAAGGCATTGAAATCTTCATATTCTTCCTAGACTGTTCCACATTATATTCTTCTCATTTAAAATCTACATTTTCTTTCTATTTCCAGATATGGATTTCTGCACTGACTGTCAAGGAGATGAATATTCAAATTTTCAATAGAACCAATGCATCCCAAAACTTTTAAATTACCTGTCCTATGGAGAGCAATCAGGAATCACTTTAATGGGATTTTCAATTGCTTTTGCTCTGACAACAGTTTGGGTCCTTAGAACTTTTTGGAAACACCAGGACACTCCTATAGTCAAAGCAAACAATAGAAATCGCATCTACACTCTTCTCTCTCTTTCTTTGCTTCCTTTGCTCTCTCCTCTTCATTGGAAAACCAACATCTACCACGTGTATTCTCCAACAAACAGCCTTTGGTATTGTCTTCTCTTTGGCTCTTTCCAGTGTTTTGGCCAAAACA